CCCCCCAGCAGCCCAGTGTTCAGCCAACTGAATCATTATGGCTTCTTCAAACCCCACCCAAAATAATTAATTCCACCCATCACATTTTTCAAAAATTCCTCCCACAATAGTCAAACAGATCAATCATGTTTTTTCCAAACTCCGCCCACACAACAAGGACCTCCCACTTAGTGACTGAGGAAACCCCCCTCTCAACCTATAGCACTCAGAGTGTTGGGGTTGTCTCTCAGCTTTTTATCCAGTGATTCATAGATATTTTGCTAGCAACCAGATAAACAGACACCAAAACCTTGTTACCTACCTTTTGCCTTTTGTCAGTGAGTGATAACATAACTTACCCAATATGGTTAGTATGCAGAGCAGTATGGCTATCAGGGCATGGACACTGACTCCCATCCTCTGAGCACCGGCTTTGCACTTCGAAGTAACTCGTTTAGCATCACAGTGACACACCTGCAACCAGATTTACAAGAATCAATGAAGCACTCAGTACTTTTTGTTATTCACTGCTTTTAAAAATGCTTTTGACCTACTTAGAAGTACAAAAAACAAACACATTTGCAGTTTAGTTGTGCAGGTTTCTCAAGCAGTTTGTTCCTTACTAACCAAAAACTCACACAGAAACCTGAATAAAACACGCACAGACCTTGATTAAAAGTTTGGTGACGCTGGTCTGGACGGGCCGCCCTCCGTCACTGATCCGCACATCCACACTGTGATCCTTGGGGTCATCCAGGCTGAACGGGCCTTGTTTCACTATCAGGTCTGCTGTGTTGTCTGTACAACAAGCACAATGATGCACACTGTGAGTGGTCGAAATATTAAAACCACACTTTTCTTCCACAAATGTCTCATTCCTGCAAAATCTAATTTGTCTGATTCATCATCTCGTTAACCTCATCTGATCTAACGCACACCTGCTGAGGCTATCAAGCCTCCAGAATGTATACAAAAGTGAAGAAAAAAATATCTGAGATGAGACAGAGGGAAGAGTGATAAGCAGCTGTAACTATTTGGAGCATTTAGATTATGAAGAAACTTGAAATGCTTGCTACACATTGCAAAACTTTACCTACAGACAATTATTAATCGTCTAGGCAGACAAAGAGACAATTAGATTCAGTTAAAAGTCATGAATGGTGTCAAGCAGATTGGAGTATTTTGTTTTCTACAGGTCAGACCAACAATACAGTCATTAGTCATTCAGGCAGACAGAAGTTTCCTGCTGAGACGATGGGGAAAGCTGTTCTCCTCACTATTCCACAGCTGAAGGAATTTCTCTGCAACAATGACAGGAAGGAACCTTCTGCTCCCTCACAAAGAAACGGTAGCTTGACTCAAAGGGCATGTTTGAAGAAAAACTGTCCAGCAGTGGTGTAGACTTAAACTTTAGTCTGCAACAAATTGTTTTAAGTTCTTAAATAATGACTGGGTAAATTTCTTAAACACTTGATTCACACTGTTTGTTCTCTTTAAGATATTCTAGAGGATCATTCCCGTGCTAGCACTGCACTCCACCACCACCATCTGCTGTACTAATCAGACTACATTAAGAGTTTAAACAAACTGGAAAGGTTTATAATTTTGTTAAAAATATTTAAAGAAAAGCTGGGTTTAACATTAGTAAATCTGGAGAAAATGTTCTTAATTATTAAAGCCTTCATTTTAGTGATTTTCTTTTTACCACTGGAAAAAAAAAAACTAAAAAGAGGCAATAAAAGAAACCCACGTCTGTATATTACTTAAGGAAAAATGTTAGATATGCAAGCAGCAGGTATTGAATTTACATCTGAACTTTTAAATAAAAAAGAAATTATAGGTTTATAGTGAAGTACACCTCTCAACAAGCCTGCAGTCTATGATAAGTGAAGTAAAACCCAATTTGGACTGGAGTTTTAGCCCATTATAAAAGGAAATCAATAGCCTTACAAGAGGGGATAATGAAAGAAAGAAAAAAGGGCCACATGACGTATTAAGACCTAGCATTTGTTGAAGGACTGCAAATTGTTCCCTGCCTTTCATGCTAAAGATTTAGAATTATATTGTCTAATAGTCTCTTTGGTCAAACCCTAAAAATAAGAGTATGCACAGTTTCAGATGAGCTCAGAGTGGAGAGTATTAACACATAAAACATTAGCTTATCTGTAAAACTCTCCAAGTTATTGACTTTTTTGTGTTGGAAAATGTTGATTAACTGATTAACTATCTTGAACTGGATTGATTCCAAAGACTTTTATTTGTAGATGTGCATCAATTAATTACATTCTGTGAGTTTCATTAAAATCTGGCACAGACAAACGACRTGCAAAAAACTTGTTTCTAAGGCTTCACCTTTAGCAACAGGCGATAATTATTCTCAAAAAGTCTCTAGAATTGTTTAAATGCTAAAGAAATCAGATCCTTTGTAARTGTTTTGGCCATAAGCCCTATTCTGATGGGATTAGCTTTACCTATAGGGCCACATGCTATTTGTAATAGTTGAAGAAATTTTCTACATTGGTAATCTCGTGTGAATCGGCCATGTCAGTAAGAATTTCCCAGTCAGTTATTGCAAAATTTAGCTGAACTCCGATGTCCTGTGATAATACTAATCCATTGTGAATAGACATCTCTATGATTTGGACAGACATGGGTGGGATCCAAGATGTAATTAGGCATTTTTATTTGCTTATGGTGAAAAATGGAGGCTGCATTGGAGTGCATTGAAACCCTTTTGGGTCTCGAGCCAACAAAACCCAACCCATAACATTTGGCATTAAAAAGAAAAAGGCTGTAAATAACTAGCAAAGTCAGATGCAAATGGTGGCTCACATCATGCATTGCACTGTGTAGTAAGAATCATTTTCTTCTGTTTGTAGCCTTCTGTTATGCTGACTAGTGCTGAGTAACACAGCGCTAAGCTGTGGCTGTAGCTTAGCACGTTAGCATCATATCTGAGAGATGTCTGTAAATTTCAACAAAATCTCATGCTTCGGTTATCCTTTGTGACATAAAAAGCAGGCGTTGGGGTGTAATTTATTTATTACATGGGGTCCCCAGATAATGCTTATCCCATATGAAGAGGGCTTCAGGGTGTATTCACAGCAGCCCTGCTTAGTCCGCTTTAATCAAACTCTAGTTTGTTTGCCTAGAAAGTCTGGTTTGTTTGGGAAAGAATGAATGCACAATCAAACTCTGGGGTCTCATTTATAAAGGATTGTGTGGAAACCATACTAAAAATGAACGTACGGTCAAAAGGCAGAAATGGCGTACGCCAAAAAAAAATTCAGATTTATAAAACTGTGCGTACGCATGTT